TCCCCCTCACACTTAGTAATCTTACTGAGGTATTAAAAGACGAAAGCATAATTGTCCTTCAGCCATTAACCTGCTCTGCTTCCTTTATTGTTCCTAATAATTGTGCTCACAAGGAAGTTAGCAATACAGTGCATGTTTTTTTTTAACATTTGGATATAATTATCATTTCCCAGTTACATATACAGCATAAGGATGAGGAGTACCAATGCCCATGCGGTCAAAAATTCACATATAAGTTTTTACTCCCCCAAAGCTTACTTTCTAATAGCCTACTGTTGACCGGAAAGCTTTGCCAGAAACATAAACAGTCAATACATATTTTATATATGTATGCATTGTGTACTGTAGTCTTATAATAAACTAAACTAGAGAAAAGCAAATGTTATTAAGAAAATCATAAGGAAGAGAAAACACATTTACAGTACTGAATGTATTTATTGAAAACATTGACATATAAATGGATGCAACCTGAAACATCACTGTTAGGTCTGATCAAATAATTGAATCGATGCCCCCTCCCCTGGGAACTGATCTTTAGGCCACTTCACAACGGACATTCCACTTGCTAAAACCATTATCTAACCCCTCCGGACTTTCCCAGAATCCAGACCTGCACAGAGAATACTCCACCCAGAAAAAGCCCGCCTACAGTCCTTTAAAAACCTCTGACTCCCTGTCTTTGGATGCCGGTGCCATTTGGGAGCTCAGCCCAGCTGGTATCCAGATGACCTAATAAATTCATAATTTTTTACTCCTTTTGGCCACGTGTGTTCCTTCTTTGGTGACCCTAACAATCACTTTCTGTCTTAAAATGTGACTCCCTCAAGACCCAATATGCCAAACCAATTTGAAAAAGAATTGTGATGTCATCATCAATTCTCTGACAAACTACAAAAGTAAAGCCCCCAAAGGAGAGCCTTGCCCCAGCTCTGAAATTATTGGAGGAGCCCAGACATCAGAATCGGTTCTTCTCATCGCTTAAAATTGACCTGACAGAGAAGCCAACCACATTCTAAAGCCAACTTATTGGCACTTAAAAAAATCCAAAATTGTGGCTCTAGTATAATAGTCCACCTTAGTTTAAACCCTGACTGGATTAGTAGTAAAAACTCTAGTGTGCTGTAATAATAACAACAGAGGCAAATATGCATTGAGCACTCATTAGCACCAGGCATCATGCTAAGCACCCTAATCTCATTTAAAACCTCGTAACAATTGTGTGATGTCAGGATTATTAATGAATCCCATTTTACAGGGGGGAAAATGAGGAAACTGACATGTAATTTGCTCACAGTTAAAAAGCCATTAAAAATCACAGAATTAGGTTATCAACCCAGTGTAACTCCAGAGCCTTTGTGTTTAACTCGATTCTATACTACTTATAAAATTATCTGATCTTGAGGGGAAAACATTTTTATTTTTGCTTTATGAAATATTTCTGATTTTGAAAACTCGGTTGGATAAGAAACTCAGATATTCAGTCTTGCCAAGAATATTGTGTTAAATCATGCTGAGCCTTCCAGAAATATTTTACACAATCAGTTTGACTCCAGGATTATGCCATTTGAAGCCAGTGGTCAAAAATAGAAATAGCCAGAGGTTTTTAAAAGACTCTAGGCGGGCTTTTTCTGGGAGAAGAATTCTTTGTGCAGGTCCAGATTCTGATTTATCATTCATCCAGTTCAGATTATTAAATCTTTGTATATGAAACAGAAACTATTTCATATTTTAATACAAACTCCCTTCACATTCTAATACTTATGTACAGTTTACAATAACATCATACCAAACCCCTAATCACCTAGAAAACAGGCATACCCTCATCCGGCTAGTTTTTACCAAGCCACTTGAAAGTGCGACAAAGTTATAATCTGAGCCTTGATTCTGGAACTGAATATATTTTAGAAGATCAAACTTTTTGGCAAAATTAATCTAGAGCCAAATTGGTGTGGCTCAGTGGCTGAGCATGGGACCTATGAACCAGGAGGTCACGGCTCGATTACCGGTCAGGGCACAATCCCCAGGGTAGGGCATGCAGGAGGCAGCCGATCAATGATTCTGTCTCATCATTGATGTTTCTATCTCTCTCTCCTCTACCTTCCTCTCTGAAATATATTTTTAAAATAATAATAATATCTAGAAAATATAAACACATTGCTCATTATAAAAGGCATTTGACTCCTAGCTTGAGTTGGCCTGAGTGGGTAGGTAGGTGGGTGGATGGATGGATGGATGGATGGGAAAGAGAGAGAGATAAGGAATGTGTGAGGCAAGAGGATCTTTACAAACTTAGACCCACATTTAGCAAGGATTCTACATACTGCTCTTAAATGACACGATCTGAGAGCAAATATAGTTTTAGCTTTGGTGTCTCATGTTGAAACTAATAATCCCTGTGAAGCACAATACATACAAAGAGCAGGCTCCTTCTGTCATGTATAAAAGAGTCGAGATCCCACAGTTTACTGTTTCTTAACTCTTTGAAAGTGAAGAATAGCAGGAAGAAATAACGTGGAGTCATTACAGTCAAGTTGCTAAATTACCGAAATCAAGTAGGTTGAGGAATGAGGAAACAATTCTGTTGTTTAACTAGCCTGGGAACGTAAACTTTTTAACTCTCCAGTCCTGCGTCAATGCCTGGTTATACATTAAACCTCTAGACAACCCTCTGGTTACCCCCTAAAGGACTAAGGAAAACATGTTCATGTATTCAGACCACCTGACAGCCATTATCCAGAGCACTGGTCTTCTAGAGAATTACCATCTTGGATCAATCCAGAGGCTAAGAATGCAAGACTGATTCTTCCCAAGAATGTACTTTTTACTCTAAGAACTCATAGCTTTTCTTTCTTCTTTGGAACACTCTGGGCATTACCTAGTTGTGTTTACAATTTGCAAACTCTAAGGCCCTTGAAAAATCTTTATCATGTGTTTCTAGCAAAGCCTCCAGACTTCTTTTGAGTTTGTTTGACAAAATCAAATAGAACTTCTTATACATAAAAGGGGTGCTAAATATGACCAAAGAAGGATAGTTCCCACTCCCAAGCCCACCAAATGGCAGTAGCCCCCCTCCAGTGAGCCACACTGAAAGGCGCCACCTGGGGCCTACCACACAGGATTACGGACATGTATACTGCACCCAAAGGGATCACATCACCCAGGAGTCAGATTTGGAAGAAGACTAGGAAACCAAGGGAATTTTTAAATGCATGATTATCATTTTTATTTGATCCTTTAGGAAAATGTGGAAGATGGCCGAGCGAGTATCTACCAATCTGTCATCACCAACACCAGCAAAGAAATGTCCTGTTTCAGTGACTTTCCAATGCCTGAAGATTTCCCAAACTTCCTGCACAATTCTAAGCTCCTGGAGTATTTCAGAATCTTTGCCAAAAAGTTTGATCTTCTAAAATATATTCAGTTCCAGGTATTGTATTTGGGGGGGGATTGTTTTCTCTACATTAGTTCACATCACATTTAAATAGAGAAGTTACTCTGATAATGAAAGAGATTGTGGATAAAACAAAGTATTGCAATCCAATTATTTGCTGAAAGATGAGAGCATAATAGAAAACCCAAAAAGAATGTCATTACCCTAATGCTATAAATTGTACACATTAACAGAAGAGAAAAATCATCTGTTAAATGTAAAGGTTTGAATGATGATGATAATGATAGGGAAACTGCATTTAAACTAATATCTGTAACCACTGAAGAATCCTATCCTCATTTCCCTTTAAAAAAACAAAAACATACAGAAAAAAATGATCAACAATAAAAACACCAATATCTCACTTAACATGCTGAATTTTTATCAATAACCTACACTCTGAGAACTACTAACTGTGCTTAGGAAATAAAGTTTAAATTACATCTCTGAATACATAACTCCTAATGGAGCTTAGGGTTTTTTTTAACACATCTCAGTTTCTCAGTAATTTTAGTTTTGCTCCAGGTTTGTATTATATTAATTTATAATAGTTGACTTTGGTGAAAATCTTTCATTGTATTTGTAAGCACAATTAAAATGTCCATGCCAGGCTGGTGTGGCTCAGTGGTTGAATGCTGACCTATGAACTAGGAGGCCACAGTGTGATTCCCAGTCATGAGACATGCCCAGGTTGATATTTTTAAAATAATAATAATATCTAGAAAATATAAACACATTGCTCATTATAAAAGGCATTTGACTCCTAGCTTGAGTTGGCCTGAGTGGGTAGGTGGGTGGGTGGATGGATGGATGGATGGATGGGAAAGAGAGAGAGATAAGGAATGTGTGAGGCAAGAGGATCTTTACAAACTTAGACCCACATTTAGCAAGGATTCTACATACTGCTCTTAAATGACACGATCTGAGAGCAAATATAGTTTTAGCTTTGGTGTCTCATGTTGAAACTAATAATCCCTGTGAAGCACAATACATACAAAGAGCAGGCTCCTTCTGTCATGTATAAAAGAGTCGAGATCCCACAGTTTACTGTTTCTTAACTCTTTGAAAGTGAAGAATAGCAGGAAGAAATAACGTGGAGTCATTACAGTCAAGTTGCTAAATTACCGAAATCAAGTAGGTTGAGGAATGAGGAAACAATTCTGTTGTTTAACTAGCCTGGGAACGTAAACTTTTTAACTCTCCAGTCCTGCGTCAATGCCTGGTTATACATTAAACCTCTAGACAACCCTCTGGTTACCCCCTAAAGGACTAAGGAAAACATGTTCATGTATTCAGACCACCTGACAGCCATTATCCAGAGCACTGGTCTTCTAGAGAATTACCATCTTGGATCAATCCAGAGGCTAAGAATGCAAGACTGATTCTTCCCAAGAATGTACTTTTTACTCTAAGAACTCATAGCTTTTCTTTCTTCTTTGGAACACTCTGGGCATTACCTAGTTGTGTTTACAATTTGCAAACTCTAAGGCCCTTGAAAAATCTTTATCATGTGTTTCTAGCAAAGCCTCCAGACTTCTTTTGAGTTTGTTTGACAAAATCAAATAGAACTTCTTATACATAAAA